GTCATTTTGTTGCCCTCAGTAGAGTGCTGTGGCATCATAGCTCACAGCAACCTCAAACTCTTGGGTTCAAGTGATCTTCTTGCCTCAGCCTCCCAAGTAGCTGGGACTACAGGTGCCCACCACGATGCCTGGCTGAAATTTCAGAGACAGGCTCTCACACTTGTTGAGGCTGGTCTCGAACCTGTGAGCTCAGGTAATCCACTGCCACAGTTTCCAGAGTGCTAGGATTAAAGGAGTGAGCCACCATGCCCAGACTTCCACAAGGTCATCTTTTCCTGGTTCAGGTATTACCTCCTGTGACCATTCACACCAATTTCTCCACCCTTATTTCCTTCAGAATACAAAATGGTCTGTGCTCATCTTCTTTCTGTGTTTAAGGGCAGGGATGCTTTGACCATCATGGCTGTATCTTGGTTGCTCAGCACAGAAGGACATACTGGTTTAAAGGCTGAATGAGCACACCAGCCTAGAGTCACCGAGCAAAGAGAATGATCAAAGGGCCTGCACACCAGTCCAAGGAAAGTGATTGCTAGCTCCCCCACTACACGGTCCTAATACTACTTTTTACACAAGTGGGAGGGGCTGCTTTGGGCTAAACAATCAGTTAAGAGGCGTCCTTTCCTGCTTCCTCCTGTTCATTCACTTTCAGCCCTGCGTTTCGGACGCCTTTAGTCGGAGCACACCACACGACTAGTTCTCTTTTGCCCTTCAAAACTTCCCATAGCCTCTCCCTGCCGAAGCTTTCCCAAGGGAAATTGAAACAACCCGCTTTTTAGTGAGCCTGTATTTCCTTAGTTTTGCATAGTTTTTTCCCTTTAACTTCTCTCTCCGACTCCACTGAGAACTCCTCTAGGAAGAGAATGTCGTCCTAGTCTCCGCTGGACGCCCCTCACCCTCTCAGAAGTGCACACTGTGGTTGCTTCACGTGCACAGATGAAGGGAACTGAGGGAGTCTGAGTTTGCAGCTCCGCCGAGCAAACGTTTATTTATCTGGGGTCGTGCGGGGTGTTTTTCTTAAGTCAGCACAGTAATCCTTTGACACAGGATTCAAACACAGGGTACACTGTTGTGTAAGGAAGGGTCAAAAAGCTAACTTTCTGACCCTGGGTGTGGTTCCGGTTGGTTTTGGTTTGCTCGGCAAACTCTGATACTATTTAATTTGTATTCATACAGGTATCCTAGGAAATTAAGTCAGAAAACCTTTCATAAAAGGCCAGATAGTCAACACGTTTGGTTTCATGGGCCAGTCTCTCTCCCAACTACTTAGTTGCTATTGTAGTTTGAAAGCAGCTAGACATAATATGAAAATGATATGTAAATAAGTGTGGTCCTGGGCCAATAAAAGCTTAATTACATAATCAGGGAGGGGCTACATTTGGCGTGTGGGCCGTAGTTTGCAGGCATCTGAGAAAGACGCATTAGCACACACTGAGAACAAAATAGAGTAGCACTCAAACTACTAAAAATCCTGCCCTGCTTCACAATTCAAACACTGAATTCCCTGGGCCACCCCATGACAGCCTAAGGCTTCCAGGACTGTGTACAGGGAGCTGATTTATATGGTTTAATAGTTAGGGGATCAAAAAAATTCTCCTGGCCTCAAACCTCTTCTTCACCCTCCCGTGAATTTACAAGTTGCATACGTAGACATTGTGTCATTTTATGCAACTTAGAGGTAACAGCATGGGTTGTATTGATTATATGCTGACAAGTTATCAATATTTCTTTTAACAAAGCAGTAAAGTTTGTATTCTTGAGCAAGTGAGAGGAGGGCAGAAAGATGAGATGGGGAGAACACTCCTGAGCTGGGGAAAGGTGGGGTCAGTCAAGGGAGGCTGGAGGGCAGAGGAAAGCCCGTGGGGACTGCTACGCTCCCCTTCCTCCTACCCTGGTGCTGCCACTGCATCATCTGTCTAGTGGACCCAAGAAAACGGGATAGAAACTTACACTAGTCAGATGCCTGTTGAGGATATCTGAAAGAGTTCAAGCGAACGTTTGCATAACCAGGAAACATTTAGAGGCTACTACTTTTTGAGATCCACTATCACCCTGCAGGGAGCCACCATCACCAGCAGCACAGGGAGCCCCGAGTCCAGGGCAGCGGCAGGACCCAGACAGGGAATCTCACAGGGTGCAAACCCGCAGCTTCTTGGCACCATCGTGGAGCTGAAGAATCCTCCCAGTTTCACCCAGAGTCTTCATTCCATATCTAACTAGGGATCTAAAATCTTCATAAGCCCATTTGCAT